GGTATACTGACTTTTAAATATAATAAATGTAGTAGAACTCCAGAAGGTTGTAATGGATTAAGATACTTAGAAGAAAGTATTATTTATGTCTTGTCAGAAACAGTGCCAATATTAAGATAGGTCTTGATAGCTGAATTACTGGTTTGGTGAATAAGAAGATTATTATTAATATGGTCTACATTCATATTTCATACTGCTAGAATGGCTCTTTCAGCTAAAACCTCAATTGACAAATTCAAAGAAGAGGCAAAAAGACTAAGTAGGTATATTTCCTTTATCAAACCTTGTAAGTCATACTATCATTGAAAGGAAGCATGGTTAGATGAAGGGGAATAGGATTGAGAACAGGGAAAGACTTAGTTCTAGTTCTAATTTAGAGAATATAATCAGTATATTCTTTTTCTATTATATATACTTCAAGAGTCATATTGGTGTATATTAGACAAACATTTTCCTCTAATTGTAGGACTGGAATCTGAGGCCAGTAGGTAGAACACATTAAAGTAAAGTTGATAATTTATGATTAAGAACCACCAGAAACAACTGGTGGACATTATCTAAAATCTCCAGCAAAAAGCATAGTTATTCCTCCAAAATGGTGAGAGTCTTGATGAATATCTAACAACATCCTTGAAACTGTATCATATGTATATTTATGTTACATGGTTGCTTTATTCCAAATAATAAGTCCGGTTTAAAGAAAAACCTTAGCCTGAGGAAATCTATGATTGATTGAACAAATAGACTGATTGTCTAAAATCAAGAGAATTCAGAAAGTTTAATATATTATTTATCCTCCTTATAGTAGTATTGCTATAATACTGCTAGATACTACTGCTAAAGCAATTCTATGTTGATTTTGAATTTTTGCAAGAATAGTATTCTCCAAAAAGGTGTATCTTGTTTCTCCTAACCTATCAAAGAAATTTTGAAAACATATTCCCAGTCATGGTATTAATATCTACTAATCTTAGGACTAAAAATACATGTCTCTGTGCAGAATTTAACTGTAGTTCACATCTCTGAAGCATCACATTTAACTCTATATAATTCCATGATATTTGATCATAATATAGTAACCTATTCTGATGTTGACTATAAAGACTATAGTTGAAGTTAAATACAGGCAATGGCAATCCAAAGTGATCTAACCCTTTACCTATATCAGAAAGTATTTCTTGAAGGAGATATAGTTTAAGGCTGTATATTTACTTATCTGATAGACTCAGAATTCTCATACCATTTTCCAGTATATACTTATAGTCATCAGACAGAAAATCTCTATATGTCCAAGTTAACTACAAATTAACTCGATGAGAAGGACTTGATTTATACAATAGAATCACAAAGAGATTCTATAGTAGCTGTTTTCTAGTATGAATTGAAGTTGCTTTAGGTAGGGTAACTACTTGTAGTATGTGTAGGATAATTATCTGAGCTTAGGTATTCACAGGGGTCACAATTATGCCATGGGAGGTACAACAGTCAATGTTACAACACATGTAACAATTAGGGATACCACACAAACTTGTCCTTGCAACAGCCAAGGCATATTCTGAACTATTATACTCTGATTCACTTGACAGCTTAGTAAGCAATATACCCTAAAGGATAAAGGCTGCAATTAAGCCCATTGGGTGATATATCAGGTATTAATTTCTGTTATTGTCAGTTTTTTTACCACAACTGTTTTTGTTTCATTGTTGGGTTTATTGAGTTGAGGTACATTGGTTGCAATGCTGACAGTTGTGCCTCCGGTCGCGTAATTGTGACCCCTGTGGATAGGATAACTACCTAGAGCTCAGGCAGGATAACCTTTTCATATTTCATTAAGGTAGGGTAACTTTATTCTCTCCTCACATATCACATTTTCTATTTCCAGCATCCAAGCTCACCACTCACTGCTTACCCTTTCTTTTTTTTTTTTTTCCGCTCTTAGTTTATTTTCTTCCCCCCCCCCCGGTCCTTCATCTCCTTCAACCCACCCTAGCTTAGTGCTGTCTTTCCAGGTATTTGTCTCATAGTGCATTTTAGTGCTGTCTCCTAGCGCATTTTAGCGCTGTCTTTCCGTGCTTCTCGTACTGGCGGTTTTCAGGGATCTCGAGTACTGTAGATACTAATGGCAGCCATGCTTATTCATGCTTTATGGTGGTATGCATTAGTTCTCTACCCAAACGAGTCTCACAAGATCCCTCAGAACCAGGATCTCCCGACAACTTGAAAAGATTTCTTCCCACTCTGATTGTTTTCCATGCACATTCCCGTGTTGCCAACATAGCTGACCACAGGGTAAAGTACCCGGTACAGGTTTACAGGAAGAATTGTGCCTCGCTTATGGCCCGGGTAAGTGGACCGGGAATCGGTGTTCCATACCCACCACTCCCTGGAAGTACAGTATAAACAGGAACGGCAGTCACAGGATGTGCAGTGCTTGCATTGAGTATCGGATCGGCCCATCAGAGGAGGTATCTTTTGGCTAAGTCCTGTGACAATCTACCAATAAGGTCCATGATAGTTTTCATTCATCGAACCTACGTACTGTTACCCTTCATATTCAACTCAGCGGAAGAAAGCATATGTGCATCCTACCTGTTTGTCCCTGCCGAAAAAATACCCTCAGCCCGTAAGTTTCTCACTTTCCAAGTAACATACCCTGATCCCTCAAGTCAGTCTTTCTAAAGGCAAATATCTTTTGCCAGAAAGTTGCCCTGACTCCTAAAACATACCCTTACCTGGCTATTTCATCCTGCTGAAGAAGGTTACTTCATCCTCCATGAACCACCGGACCACACAACCCTAAATTTGCTCAACGAGGTATGATGCAAAGCATTTAGAATGTGTACCAAGGCCGTTGCATCATGTAATGCCTGATTTGTATTAGGGTAAAGGGTAAATGCAAGATTGAATATTCAAGAACAGCACAAGCCTGATTCAGGCTCAGATTGAAAGTATTGGGCAAAGACACAAAGGATCATGGAAGCCTATCGAAGCAAGGCCATTTATGCCTC